TGCACACGAAAGATGCACCCCAGACAAGTCCTTTACTGTGTCTCTAGGAACTGGCTAACCTGGGAGGGGCAGTTCCTCCAGGCCAAGAAGGCCCCAGATGTCAAAATATCAGAAGAGAAAGACACGTTTAATGCAATAAGGAAGAGCGTAGGAGCTGACCCCCATAAAGCTTGCATCGTTTCAGAGCCTTGAGGAATGTCTTCAAGGAGAAAATGGCATTTTAGTGACAGAAGAATGGAAATGACACAGGAGCCCATGGCTAGGGAGACCTGGGAGGAAGAAAACCTAGACAAATACCAATTCAGGATAGTGAAAGTGTTCCTCTAACGCGGCAGTTTAGAATCTTTCGGACTCTAGAATATTCGTCTAAATTCAGAACTAAGGTCCATACATCAGAAGTCACAAATAGAAAATCCTGAAGAATAAAAAATTACACCGTCCATAACTGCCATAAAAATAAAATAAGTGAAGGGAGATCATGAGTAAAAGATAGGCACCAAATGCCCTCTGGTCCAATATAGACAATTCTGAAATTATGGTTTATTTTAAAAGCCTTGTTTATCAGAATTTAAATTCTGGGAAACGACTTTTCTAGAATTGCCAGCTAGATTCATGTGGCCCAGTGTCCAGGGTCCGAGATGAAGCGGCCTGGATGGGATGGAAGGTGGGAAGGCACTCAGGGCTCCTGGTGGGTGAGCACTGGGGGCTGCAGCCGGGCAGTGAGGTTCCGATCCTGGCTCCTCCGTTACTGCTGTGTGACCGCCTGAAAGCTTGCAGCCTCTCTGAGACTCAGTTTCCTGAGGGATAAAGCATGGGTCCTGAGGTCCTGCTTTATAAGACGGTCATGAGGCTCAAATGAGATCACGCACGTAGATTGTTAGACCGGTGCTTTGCACACAGCATGAGCTCAGTGAACCTCAGCTCTGTTTGTATTACCATAACACAATCCTAAAATCCATAGGAGATTGCCTGTGTGTTTTTAACTACAAATCTGCTAAATCTGCCGTGGGGTAAGAGGATTAATTCATGAGGACGGGGCCATGGTAAAGGTTAATGGACGGTCCCAAAGTCAACATGAATGGGGCTACGAGATATGACAGAACAACAAGGGTCCGCATGCCTGTGTGCCAGGCGTGTCACACCCATTCAGTTCTCGTTCAGTGAGTTGGTTACCGCTGAAGAAAATCTAAATATCTCTAGGAACTAAAAAAGAAACGAACAGTGAAAGATGGCACCAGGGTCATCCTTGTATCTGGTTGTCTGTGTGTAAAGATGCATTTTCTGGTTTTTATAGAGAAGCAGAAGGATCACTCTTAACTGAAGGAAATTCTGCTCATTCATGAGGTTGAGAGACTTTTCCATCTTTCTGGGGACTGTGCAGCCCCAATGACTTGGCCCTTTCCATTAACACTATCAAGCACTTGTTTCCACATTTTAATATCTCCAACTCAGGACCCATCTTACAACCACAGCTTGTTTCTCTTTCTGGTCTCTTTCTGGTTGGTACACAGTGATGAATTTTAGAGTAGATGGAATTTCAGCTTCAATGGAATACAGTTTTACTGGTGTGACCCATAAACGGACACAGTCAATTCAGAAGAAGATGTAAACCAAAATGTCAGCCCAATTTCCTGGGAAAGCTTGGATTGTGATAAGTTCAAAACACAGGATGACCCCAGTAAAAAGAAAAACTAAGTCAGACTCATTCGACCTTATTTCAAGACTTTCTATAAATCCTAAAATAACCCAGAGAATGTGGGATTGGGGAAAGGACAGACCCAGGTCAGTGCAGAGAGCATGGAAATAGACTCACACGCAAACGGCCGATCCATTTTCAAGAAGGTGAAAGGCAGTTCAATGGAGAAAGATTAGTCTCCCCAGGACATGACTGTGAAACAGGGCAGCATATTCATCACACGTGAAAAAAAAGACGAAACTCAACCCTCACCTCACACCACATACAAAAATTAACTGTGAAATTGGGTTAGGCAAAATTTTCTCAGATATGGCTCCAAAAATACAGCCATAAATTCTTTTCAAAAGTTTATAAATTGGACTTCATCAAGAGTCAACAGTTTTGACCTTCAGGGTAAAAGCTGGGAGAAATTATTTGCAAAATGTATGCCTGACAAAGGACTTGTGTCTACAATTTGTAAAGAATTCTCACCACTCGATAATAAGAAAACAATCCAATTAAAAAGTGGGCAAATGATTTGAACAAACTCTTTGCTAAAGATGCTATGCCGATGGCAAGTGAGCATAGGAAAAGATGCCGGACACTATTGGTCATTGAGGAGACGCGATTTAAGACCAGCATGAGACACCTCTGCACACCCCTGGGATGGCTAAAATTTAAGACTGACCCTGCCAAGCGCTGGTGAGGATGTGGAGCAACCGAACTCCCATGCACTGCTGGTGGGAATGTGGGATGGCACAACCATTCTGGAGAACAATTTGATGGTTTATTTAACAATTAAACATACTCTTCCACATAACCCAGCTATTCCCCGCCCGGGTGATTACCCAAAAGCAACGAGAGCATATTCCTCCACAAAGACTTGTACACCAGAGTTCATCGCAGCTTTCTTTGTAATAACTAAAACCTGGAAACAACCCAAATATCCGTGAACAAGTGAATGGATAAACAAATCGTGCATATCCATATGATGGAAGACCGCTCAGTAATAACAAGGAACGCACTGGTGATACATGCTGCGACATGGTTGAATGTCAAAAATCATAACGCTCAGTAAGAAAAGTCAACAAAAAAGCAATGCATAGCATATTACTCCATTTATATAAAACTGTAGAAAATGCAAACTCGTCTAGAGCGACAGAAAGCAGATCTTTCTGGGGGGCTTGAACCAGTGAAGGAGAGAGGGTATTGGGAAGCTTCTGAGGGTGATCCATTCAGTCATAGTCTTTTTTTCTTTCCTTTTCTTTTTTTTTTGTGGAAGATTAGCCCTGAGCTAACATCTGCTGCCAATCCTCCTCTTTTTGCTGAGGAAGACTGGCTCTGAGCTAACATCCGTGCCCATCTTCCTCTATTTTATGTGGGACGCCTACCACAGCATGGCTTGCCAAGCAGTGCATGGGTCTGTACCCAGGATCCAAACGGGAGAACCCCAGTCCACCAAAGTGGAATGTGCACACTTAACCGCTGCACCACTGGGCCAGCCCCCATACGTTCATATTCTTGATGGAGGTCTGAGTTTCTTCGTGTGTACGCAAGGAGAACTCATCAGTCTGTAAATTTAAATATGTACAGTTTAACATGTATCCATCCTGCTTCAACAAAGCTGTAAGAAAAAAAGGATGATCGCTAATAAAACAGAAAAAAAGATCAAACATATTTTGTCCTCTTTAGGCCTTTAAATATATGATGAGGCTTTATTTTCGGATTTGAAGATGGACTGATTCATTAGAAAATACAGAGTTCAGGGGTGATTGTGTCATCTCGGTGCCCTAAAAAAAGAATAAACTCTCAGAGTTTGTTAGTATTTATATTAAATCCATACCCATGAGAAGGCACATTGTACTGAAAGGAAGAGAAGCCTCTAATGGGGCCCTAATAGCGCCCTGTAAACCCCTGGAGGTGTAGAAAAGAAACTGCCCGGGAAGATACCCAGATCCATTCTTTACGGAAAGGATTCTTTCTCTTCTAAATTTTTTACTGCAGTGTAACTGACGGAGACGTTGACCACAGCGCCCACACCTTCAGTTAGAAGACGAGTAAGTTCTGGGGGTCCGAAGCATAGCCTGGTGACTGTGGTTGACGATTCTGCGTCGTGCCCTTGACAGTTACTGAGGGTAGACATCAGGTGTTGTCCTAATTTGTAATCAGGGAATCACACACCTGTTTGCGAGGGCTGCACTGCCCTCCCTTCCAGGACCTGAGGAGCCAGGCTCTGGGGCCATCGTGTGGGGCGGAAGGAGAGCTCACCTGCAGAGGAAAACAGGAGAATGATAGAAAGGGCTGGCTGTGGTCACAGTCATCCAAAAATTAGGGGTCTCCTTAAAGCTTCGTCACTTCTTAGTCAATAATACACAGTGATTTGAGCGTTTCTCATTTTAATATGCATAACCTCCCCCCCCGCCCCGCCACCCCGAGAATTGCGTTTAAATGAAGGCTTAGATTCAGCTTCCCTAACACGCCCTGCAGGGCGGTCCACTCCATGGGGCCCAGACCACGCTCTGAGTTCCAGGGCTCAGAGGCAGTGAAGAGGGATGGAAACAAATTCCAAAGGACTGTTTTTAGTATCTTTGGGTAAATCAAAAGAATAATCTAATGTTACATTATATCACACACACACCCCCCCCCCCAGGATTTTTTCTGATTGCAATGAAACACTGGCTTTGTTCAGCTTGAGGCATCCTCCCGTGCTAAGAGTAGAGACTTAGTCCCTGGATACAACCAGCTGGGCCAGAGACAGAAGCTGGCCAGCGCCCCAGAAATTAATGAAACCCCAAGTGGGCTTGGTCAGATTTTGCTTTCTGAATATTCCAGTCATGGCAACACTAATATATGACCTATTAATTTGAAACTATGTTTCAGATTTGTATATATTTTCTAAATTCCAACCTTGGCTGGCTAGAGAACAGAGTGAGCACAAAGTGTCCAGCTTCTCATTTTTCCCACATAATAAAAGTGGAAATGCACACCCAGCTCAGTTAACTTTTCCGAAGGATGATGCGTGTTGAAGAGCACGTTGGATGCTGTGCAAAGAATTCCAGCTTTCGGCCTCGCACTGCCTGTCACCATGGCAGGGAAAGCCCATTTGAAACGCATGCCTCGTGGAGAAATTGGCACTTTCCCCTGGAACACCGTGCCATGTTGTCCACAATCCACTCTTTTTCCCACACAGTGGTGTCTTTGGGGCTGGTGGGTCCTAGCCTTCAAGAAGTAGCAATGTGTCCAGCAGGAAAAGAAAGGAGGGAGGGAGAGAGAGAAAGAGAACAAAGGTGCCCTTTCCCAAATCAGTGCAGGACTTTCAAAGGATTTTTTAACATCTTTATTAAAATATAATTCACTCAAACTGTTTTTCAAAAACCATGAGTCCCGCAGAGAAACCTGACTGAGCTCCACGCCGCTGGAACGTTTCACAGGGCAGCCGTGACTCTGCCCGAGCGAGATGCACTTGGAGACTTTCTGTTCTCTTTCACTGCATTGAATGAAACACACCGGTCACCGCCTGCCCAGCTGATCCCACCGCCCAGACCGGGGGTCCCCACAACCTGCAGGTGACCTGTCCCCCCTCCCTGCTGCCTCCTCAGAGGACCAGAGTGTCCTCGCCTTGTGGCCACCGGGGGTCACAGCCCGAGCCTGTTTCAAAGCCCCTCTCCCTCCCTGCCCAGCCTGGCCTTTGGAATCGCCCAGCCCAGCCCAGCCCCAGCCAGATGCCAGGGGAGTCCTGGGTCAGCACAGCACCCTCCACCCTGGCGCCACCCTTCCACTCCAGGGCTCTGCCAAACCGGGAAGTCCTGCCTCCGGGATGACCGGCCCTCACTCACAGGGAGGGATGGTGCCAGGGAACTGGGCAGAGCCGGCCGCAGGCAGCTCACACCTCCTTTACTGTAAGACAGGTGCTTTAGTGGAGAGCACAGGTCCTCACTCAGTGACCATGTCCTGACTGCCCTCCCCGAAAGAGAGCCAAGTGAGGCCCAAGGTCTGGGAGGGAGGAGCCGGCGGTGCACTCCTGTCAGCCCCTAACCCTTGGTACCACAGAGTCCATGCTTAGGTCTGCACTGGCCCCTGGGGCCACCACCTGCACACAGGGACACCTCCAGCCTCAGCTGGAGCCCTGACTCCACAGTGTACAGTTCCAGGACCATCCTGTCTCTCAGGGCTCCTGTGGGCTCATCCTGAACCTGAACTTCCAAGCTCAGGGTCCCTGTTCCTCCACCCTGCTCAGAGTCAGCCAGCTCTCCTCTGCTCTCTCTCCCCCTGCTCTCTCTCCTCCTCCCCCTGCTCTCTCTCTCTCCCTGCTGTCTCTCCCCCTGCTCTCTCCCTGCTCTCTCTCTTCCCCTGCTCTCTCTCTCTCTTCCTCTGCTCTCTCTCTGTATCTACTCTCTCTCTCCCTCTCCCCCTGTGCTCTTTCTCCCTGTCCCCAGACACCCTCCCGGTCCACCCAGCACCGAGTCCACACAGACCTTGCTCTCTCTCCACACATATCCTCTTTCTGGAAGCCTCAGGCCATGACGTTCCCAGCCCATATCTGTCCCTCTGGTCACAGGTCACGTCACCATTTCGGGAGCTAGTTTTAAGCCCCTAGAGACTCATTTGACCCCTGAACATCCTCCCACATGTCGTGGTCATCCTCTCAGAGCCAAGGGACATGTAGACTGCTGCAGACTCATGCTGGCCTGGCGGCCACCAGGAAAAAGACAGTAAATCATGGAGACAGCTGGTGAATATGAGACGAGGAAGCCGAGGCCTGGGTGCAGGGTGGGAGGCCTGATGCCGAGTCCTTGAAATGTTTCCTGGTCCCAGAAAACAGGCTGCTCCGTGGCCGGGGGGCCTCGCGTCCGCTGAATCAACACACGCTGAGCGCTCCCACATCCCTGCCTCCTAGAAGCCGGGAGTCCCTGCAATGCAGCCTGTTGGGGCTCCTGTCATGTGTGCATGTGTGTGCACGTGTGTGGACATGCATGTGTCCACACGCACATGTGTAGAGTAATGAAGACATCGGGGGAAATCATTCACTTGATTGAGATCTCAGGAATTCATAGACAATGTCTGGGGTTCGCCTTCTCCAAGGGAGACTTCCAGAAGCGTGTTTCAGAAAAAGAAATCTGAGGACCCGTTTGCTAACAGGATGGAAGTCATGTCTGGAATGTTACCAGCACAGAGCTAACAAGATGTGAAAACAAGCTCCGATCGTGAGAGCCTCATTTTTTAAATGCAGAGCGAAGAGCAGAAGAACAGCCCAAGATGGTCTTCCTAGAGGAGACGAGTGTCAATGCCAGCCGGCCAGCATCGCTCCAAATGGTCCAGGGAGGCTGCGACCGGCCGGCCCGGGCCTTCGGGCAAAGGTGATAAACTTCCCTTCTCCTCTCTGGCTGTCTCTCTCTCTGTCTCTCACTCTTTGTGTCTCTCTGCTTCTCTCTCTGTCTTTCTCTCCCCTCCCCGCCCCATTTAACACTTTGATAGAAAACTCCCTTAAGATAACCCAGCCTCCTGGTACCCCTTCCATGTATCTCAAACAGCCGTCTCTTGTGTCCATAGTTCCCTTATTCTGCCCGCCTGGAGACACCCACGTTGCTCACAGGAGATCCTGCTATAATATTTCTATGGTTCCAAATCACTACCAGGCAAGAAAAAAATATCTGCAAAACCCATTAATCAAAAGGAGGACCTTAGTTACAGAGAAACAGGGAATCTCAGCATTTCCCTTTTTCCTTTTTTTGGTTCTGGGTGCCAGGAGGCCCAACGCCGAGCATGAGCCCTGAGGATGGAAGCCGTACTGACTGTGGCTGCACGTGTCTATTCTGTTTCATCTTCTAAACCTTCTACGTGCCCTGATTCACCTTACTTTGGATGTGTGCTGAATTTTGGGGGGTCGTCAGACTTTAAAGAAAAAAATCTGAGAGTTAGTTCAAACGGAAAGTTTCTGAGCCTCCACTGAGGTCAAAATCTTGGAGTCAAAGGGGAAGACCAGTAGGCAGGCAGCCGGAGAGCAGCCCCTCCTGAGCCAGAACCAGGCGGCCGGTGGGGACAAAGGTTCCTGTGTGCGGCTGCGCTGGCGGGAGGCAGAGGTCGCGGGAGGCAATGACGTGGGATGGGCGTCCTCCTCACCCGACCTCTGGGACTGGGTCTGAGGCCCGTGGAGCAGAGTGAGGGCCGGATCCATCAGAGTTTCTTCCTGGGAGAACCCAGACTCCGCACCCACGGGGCGGGCAGACCCTTGTCCCACGGCAGGAGGCCCGGGCCGGCACGAGCGCTGGCACACTGGAGTTGTTGACTGTATTGAACGCTGGCCCTTCACCAGATCCTCAATAATTCCCAGGGCTAGACGAGCTATCTTCATGTTTCTAGGAACCAATTACTCGGCTCCAGGATAATTCCATCTTCCTTGCTAATAATAACTCTTCTTCTTTCTCCTCCCTGCGCTTCTGACTGGCTCTAAAGTCAACCAGTCTACTGTCAGATGTGAGGATGGATGCGGGAAGCAGAACACACAGGTGGGACGTGATCGCTGTACCATAACCACAGAGGGAAGAAAGTCTGCACTATAGTCCTAAGACCTAAGAAAGGAGGAGACACAGCAAGAGAGATTCTGGTTAACGCCCTGGCTGGAGCTGCCATCTTTGACTGGAAGAATTAGTTCAGACTCAGTTCTTTCTTTTTTTTTTTTTTTGGAGGAAGATTAGCCCTGCACTAACATCTGCCACCAATCCTTTTTTTTTGCTGAGGAAGACTGGCTCTGAGCTAACATCTGTGCCCATCTTCCTCTACTTTATATGAGGGATGCCTGCCTTAGCATGACCTGACAAGCAGTGCATAGGTAAGTCCACACCCGGATCCGAACCAATGAACCCTTGGCCGCTGAAGCAGAATGTGTGAACTTAACTGCTGCACCACCAAGTCAGCCCCCTCAGGTCTTTCTTGATACCAAAATCCTAGGCCTTTTCCTTTACCCACCAGTCATACCATTAATGTTGGGGATATTAATAAAAGAAGACTCTATTTTTTACTACCCACCGATTATTTGCCAAGTCAGAAATAAACAAGAAGTGTCCACCGGGAGAAGGAAGGAAGTACAGAGGGGCATCCCCAGCCTTGGGAGAGGCGAGGTCACGGGTGGGCCCTGCACGCTGGTGTCCGCTGTCCCGCTTCTGCCAGCTGCCCACAGAAGCCAGGCCAGGGGAGCGACGTGGTCCCCACCTTTTTCTGCCTCACGAGGGCCCTGCACGGTTGGAAGAGCCTCGCTCTCCGTCTCTAAAGCTGCAGGCAGCAGGGACATTTCCTCCTCTTCTGAGGCTCCTTAAACAAAAGATAATAAAAGAATAAAGAATTTCAGTGCTACATCATAAAATCATAAAAACTGAACTTTTTAAAAGAAGAGGCCCTGGAATTTCTTTTATTGGAATTAAAAGCAGATGACAATGGGCCTATAAAGCTCAATTTAATGGCAAAAACCGAGAAAAGAGTGAGAATGAGTCTACCTAGTAATAGCTGTGAAATAAGGAGCTTTCTGCGTGGTTCTTCCATAAGATGGGGGAGGTGGTCACGTCTGTCTTGTTCAATGACTCAGTGACCTTCCATCCGTGGGGTCCTTCATGCCCGGGGGGTGCTGGGGACTCAGAGGTCAGCGGGGTGTGGTGCACCCAGGACCAGCTTCACGTCCCGTGAATCAAGAATTCTGTCTGAGTCAGACTGTGATAAACTGGGAAACAAGCAAACACAAAATGGTGAGGAGCTCAGAGGAGGGAGAGATGGCATCTCACGGAAACAATCACACAGGCTTTCCTCCAGGAGAATTCCGTCTCGGGACCACGGCCCCCAGGCCGAGGGGGCTGCTCTGCAGGACAAGGGTTGATGGCCGTCTGCACCTTGGGGTGCTGGGAACCCTTCTGTTCCCACACTTTGTGGAGAACGTCTTGAACTGGGCAGTGGTGAGCTTCAATTTCAATCTCCATCAGCAATTCCGGATGGCCATAAGGGACTGGAGGGGAGAGTAATTCCATTCTAGGCCTGAACAACAATTTTCTCATTTACACGTGTCAAAAGCCCCTCCCTCTGGTGCAAGAACCACATAGGAGGTGGGGTGGCTTGACCTCGGCTGGCCCACTCCCCCCTCCAGCCCTGGTCTTAACGGCCTTTTTCATCAGATGAGAAAAATGGCTTCCACGATCCTAAAAGCCCCTTCCACTGCCTGGGAGTTTCTGGGAGAACGCTACCTAAGGGATTAGAAAGTGTCGTAAACTACAAGTGGGAGGTGTGTGTCAGTTAGAGTTAAATCCAGCTCATCTAGCAGAAAACTCAAGCTAAGAGGGGCTTAAACATATAAAGGTTTATCCTTTCCCACCAAAGGCATCTGAAGATAGGCAATCCTTAGCTGTGCGACAGATCCACAAAGTTTTCAGGGTCAAACTTCTGCTATAGCTCCCGCTGCCCCCTTTGTGGATGACTGTATCTTCTAGCTCACTTCATGGTCCACCATGATGACTTGGATCCTGCCATCACATCTGTATTCCAAGCAGCAAGAAGAGAGAAAAGACTATACCTGGTGGTTTGACTCTTTTTAAGGAGTCTTTCTGACAGTCCTACTCAACAATTCCACTTTTGTCTCCAGGGCCAGAATAGAGTCACATGGCTATGCCCATCTGCAAAGAAGCCTGGGAATTGCAGTCTTTGGCTGGGCCCATGTGCTAGAGGGGCGGGGGAAATGGCCTGAACTGCCTGTCTCTGCCGCAGAAGGTGTTTAGTTGCTCCTTGAAGGCTGAGTGGGATGTTCACGGACGGCCTGGGAGGACATCCCAAGCCAAGACCAGAGAGAGCAAAACGGGGGGTGAGTTTGGGGGGGCCACTGAGTGACCCACTCCACCACTGCAAGGTCAGCTCACTGAAAACTCCCGGGCCAGGGAAAGCTTTCATATTCTTTTTGTTCTGGGTTTGGAAGGTTTGTATGTCAACTACATGTCATCTTAAGACATCTTTTTCCTGGGGATCCTTCAAAAGCGAGTTAGTTGGGGGTTGGGAGGAGAAGCGTAGGACCTAGGGGAGGGCAGAGGGAGATCTGAGGTTCTTAGACAGGACCGGAAGGAATTAAGGCAAAATATTCCAGGTCTAGAAGCCTTTGCTGTGGGACTGAAGTCTAAAAGCTGTGACGCCTCGAGCGGGGGGCCCCATTCTGAGAGCTTTCGCAGGAAATGGTCCTGAGCTGGGCTGAAGCTCCAGCCTCCTGGTTCTGATGCCAGTGGGGGCTTGGACCCGATGGTCAACATGGGATTAATCAGGCCTTCCTAAATGTCTGGTTTTTGTTTTTTGTTTTTTTTTCCCCCCCAGAAATCTCTGGCATACAGGAAGCAGAAAGCACCAACCCAGGGTAATAAAAATATAAAATGGACCAAATATTTGGAGGGAAGAGGAATCCTTGACATGCATGCCTGTTATTTATCATGTTATCTCCCTCAAGTCAAGATAAATTAGAAACTGCTCATTGCAACCATGAGGGAAGAGGACCCCAGCTTTCCTCTGAGCAGGAGGTGGTAGAAAGAAATGCTGACGACACGACATGCACGAAACGTCTTTGATCTTCTCTTCATCGGCATTCACCATAATATTGTGTGTTCCATTTTAATGTTAATTCATGTAAAATGGGAACAGAAAAATGCAACCCAAGAGAAGGTTGTAGGGGGAGGTACGAGGACATAGCACCATAGAGTTTAGAGAAACCAAGAAACAACAAGTTGAGTAGTTACTTTGTGAAGCTTTTCCTTTGTCGGTTGTCTCGGCAGATAATTGGTAACATGTCGGGGGATTTTCAGAATAGTTGTAGCAGAGAAGTGGCCTGTAGGGGCTGTAAGTGGGGGTGGATGGGAAAGACAGAGACAGAAGAACTGACAACGGTGACATCTTTTGCTGGTTATTGGAAGCCCAGAAACAGGACGGGTGCTTGAGGGGGAAGCAAACTTCAGGAGTGCTGTGTTTTTATTTTCTCTCTCTCTCCATCTCTCTCTCCCTCCCTCTCTCTGTCTCTCTCTATCTCTCCATCTCTCCGTCTCTTTCTGTCTCTGTCTCTCTCTCTCCCATCTCTCAGCTCTCTTTGCTTTCACTATGCAAGCTGACTCTCCACTTGATGAGTGAGTGACCCCAGAAATGGCCCTGCTCTTTGGCTCTGGCAGCAAAGCCGGGGGGCGTGGGAGCCAGGTGGACCAGCCACATCCTAGGCCCCTCTGTGCTCTGGATGAAGGAAAGGAGTGAACTCCGTAGTGACCAGGCAGGCCAAGGCCCTGGGAAACGTGGACAGTGGCTCCTGGGACCAGCTACCCATCAGGACCCTCGCAATGATGGAGGAGCAGCCACAGAAGGGAAGCTGGCCCTTGGACAGAAGGCCCTCAGAGCGCGTCACAGGACAAACACGATGGGCCTCAGGCTGTGGTAGGGGTACCTCCGAGTTGCGGAAATGCAGCCTCCAATGAATGGCCCACTGGGGTAAAAAGTCTTTATAAACAAAAGAATAGCCTGCCCCTAAAGAATATTCACACCACCACGTCCTCAGTGGTAGAAATAGCTAGAGTGTTGAGCGACGCTTTTCAAATCGCGCATCGCAGGAAAGGGGGGCAAAGGACCTGAGAGCCCATGGCCAATGTCCACACGGACTCAGGACCAACAGCTCAGTTTCTTCCCCGGGGTATGGGGCCCGCGGTCCCCATTTGGCCTGGGCACAAAGACCACCAGCTCTGCTTGGGTTCCAAGACAAGAAGGGATCCCAGTGGTGGGACGTCTCCAGGAGGCCGCTCCGCAGACCACAGAGAGGTCTGCCCCTTGGGCCTGTGACCCCGGCCCTGCCCTGCGACCCCTGGCCTTGGCCTGGTCCTGGCCAGCCCGCATGCTCGGGTGTTCCCTAAACTGCACGCACCGTGTGACGGTTGTGTGCGCACGCGTGCACTCTTAGGTAGAGGAAGAGCTCTGTGGCTAATGTCAGACTCTCAGAATTAAACACTCCTGCTGGATGTGGGCATGTGCCCCTAAGCCGCACACAGTCCACGTGTGCCTGTTTGCAGACTGAAGAAATGTCGTTGTTTGCAGCTTTGGTTTCTGATATTTCAGGGTATTTTCCCTTGAATGTCTCGGCCACGAACCACATCAACCCTGATACGGAAGTGAGCGATCTTTAAGAACCGGTCATCGTAAATTCAGATTGGTAACTGTCAACGGGGAATGCAGGTCTAGGTGGGTGCACTCTGCAAGTCAGCATTCGGATTTAGCATTTCACAACTGAAACACAGAATGTATTTAACTGACTGCACGTACTAGTCAGGGCTCTCCAAAGAAGCAGAGCCAATGGGATATCCATATATATGAGATTTGCTATGAGGAACTGGGTTATATAGGTATGGCGGCTGAGAGGCCGGTGATGGGCTGTCTGCAAGCTGGAGCCCCAGGCAGCCAGTTGGGTGATTCCAGTCTGAACCCGAAGGCCAGGCACCAGGAGCACAGGAGTGGATGATGTCCCAGCTCAAGAAGAGCGCGCAGACCCTGCCGTCCTCCACGCTTCTGCTCTATTCAGGCCTCGGTGGATCGGAGGAGGCCTGCCTGCACCCGGGAGGGGGCCTGCGTTCCCGACCCCACTGATTCCAACACTAACCTCATCCTGAAGCATCCTCAGAGACACGTCCAGAATCACGTGTAGCCAAATATCTGGGCAGCCCGTGAGCCAGTCAAGCGGACGCATGAAATTAACCATCACAGTGTCACCCGGCTGAAATCACAATTTCTTTTTCTAACTGGGAAATTCTTATATAATTTATTTTTTGATGGAGAGCAAGCTCTCTTTCTCTTTTTTCTGCAGTAACCCCAGCGACTATGGCAGCGCTCAGATGAAGCTCCTCCGAAAGAGCAGATGGATTTCTTCACCTTATCGCCACCCTTCACACTGGTGACGGCCACTCTCCTCTTTCACCGGAAGGGTTGGAGGTAGTGGAGTCTCCGTTAATCGACTGACACCAACAGACTCAGGAGGAAATAAAGTTATTCTGTGAGCGGCGCCAATTCTCCTCCCTGATGGAATTTCCTAGAGGGATCAAAACTCTCAGTGGCCTCAGGCTTTGCAGGATTATGGTCTTTCTTTCATTCCCCCCTCCCTCAGTTTCCAGATATTCACTCTAATTGGTTCAGGACACCATGATTCTGCGTCCAGATCTTGGAAAGCATCCAATGGTTTCCTATATAACTTAAAGTTTAGCCGCTAGACACAGAGCAGAATTATTTTTAAATTTAGACACAAGGAAACGGAAAGAAAACTGGTGGGCGGAGGCAGGGGTTGAAGGGAGCGTTTCCTCGTTCAGCAAATGGTTTCATTTATTCCTGGAATTTCTAAAATCTAGGGAAGGAGGAGAGGGGAGGGAGACAGGAAAAGGGTGGACGGCTGTGGAGCTGCGGTTGTGGGTTCGCTCGAAGTGAGCTCAATGGTTAGAACAGAAGGAAATTGCCACGATGAGGGGAGAGTCAAAGGCTACAGCCTGGGAAGAACTGAGGTCCTCCCTCCACCAGCTCTTGAGGGAATCAATGCTGCCGACGACGTGGGAGGGTGTGCGGAAGCCGATCTCCCCCTGTCCAGTCTTCAGATGAGACTTTAGACCCTGGGCCGACACGGTGTTGCAGCCGTGAAGACACCCTGAGCAGAGGACCCAGCAAGGCCGGCCTGAATTCCTGACCCCTGGGTTAATTATTCCCGTGATATGAGCGTGTTTTGGTACAAGACACAAATGTTTGGGGTAACTTGTCAGGCAGCAAAAGAGAACTTATGCACGCGTCATGTCCTGCTGGAGGTCAGCTGTAGAGTCAATAAGGCATGGAATGTTCCCCTCTTGGATCAGAGAATTCTCTTAAGGCTGAGGTTTAAAAAAAAAGAAAAAACTTCCAGTTGAAGAACTATTAAAATACATGTATTGCAAAAGAAAAAGAAAGGAGAGCAGGCTGTGTCTTTCCACATCGGCTGTACCTATCTATGTGTTATCCCCCGATACCCTGAGCCATGGGTCAGGCTCACGAGAATCCCCGGGGAGAGGGATGAAGGACCTGCCTGAACCTCGACTCTGCACAGACAGATCTCAGCTTCCGCAAAACAGACATAACCTTGGAGGTCTGACAACTCGAAACTTGACTGTTTTTAATTAACTACAATATTTTTATTCCAAAAACAGTACTTGTTCATTGGAGGAAAAGACAATATCCAGAATAAGCAACAGAAAGGAAATGAGAATACGTAGATCTATTTACATATATACGCACGCACCCTATTTCTATCGCGACCATATCTCCATGTCAACAGATATTTATCTTCACAACCACAACAGCCATTGAAAACTATTCCCGTGTCTAGTTTCATCATAATTTACTTACTGGATGTCCTGTTTGGACTCCCAGGTTGTATCTATTGTTCTCTATATTACTGACAATTCCATGACAAATGACCAAACCTCTAACTTTAAGTTACAAAAATATCAATTTTATAAGAAGATAAAGGGCTTTTGGCTAAGATAAAATTCAGGGTGCCCAACTTTTTAAAGTGTAGGATGCTCTAGAAGGGGATGGATGATTCTGGAGCACAAATGCTGGGCTGTGGGCCACGGAGACCTCTGGGCAGAGATGCAGAGCGGGGCTCGCTCTCCCGCCCAGGGACAAGGAAGGGCACCAACAGGCCATCCTCAGATGGCTCCGTCTTCTCCTTGTCAGCATCACTCACCCTCCCAGGCTCCATCCATTAGAGCAGCTGCTCTCAGGCTCTGCAGCCATTAGAATGACCTGGGAGCGTGTTAAAAATACATATTCCCTGGCAGCACTCCAGGAAAATGGGCTTCAGTGGTCTGGTGGAGCGAGAAAAACCAGGCCGGTGACCATGGGGCTTTGAAAGTTGCTCCATTAATTCCGGACATGGGCAGAGACCAGGCCTCCAGCCTTGTCTGCAGCAGGCATCTTTTCTCTTTTATAGTAAATTTTTGCTGCTCACACGGATGAGCAGGAGCATGAGGCAGGGCTGGTATGAGGCAAGCATGCAACCCAAGTTTCTCCGGGGTTGCCCTGCAGTAAATAGCTCCTTTGTGTCACTATTAGAGACTTCTTTGGGTTGACAGAACATGCCTTTTCTTGGTCTCTTTTCCCTCTTGTAGCCACTCGACAAACATTTATCGCGCCTCTGGTAGGCCCCAGGGCTGGGCCATCCCTCGGTGAACTGCCCGTGAGCCATTTATGACACTCTTTTCTTGGGGGTAGCCGTACCCCAACTACAGGACCTGTGTGCTGGAGGGGGAATGTGTCTCCGTATCCGCGGCAGGTGACCGGCACCAAGTGAAGCTCCGTAAAACCCTGCCGCTGCTCATCGGTCACCCGGCGTGAGGGGCTCTCCTGGGTCCCCTCTAGGGTCACGTTCCTTCCCTTCCCCATGCGGGACGGGGCCCAGGGCACGCCTCTGGGGAGTGGGACCAGCGCTATGTCGTCGCAGGCCAGCGACGCGCACGTCTGCCCACCAACTCGAGGATGCCCTCGCGTGACCTTCCTCCGGACCTCAGGCTTGAAGGGAAGCCGGAGGAGAAGCTGGGGCGCCCGCGGCTCCGAGCGCCGCCCCCGAAAATCCTGCGGGAAGCGGGGCGCGAGCATCCCCTGGGGTTCGGTCCCCCAGCCGTCGCAGGCCTGGGGGGGGGGGGGGGCCACCTGCGGCACTGTCCTCAAATACGGAGATCCAGGTACCCGCGATGCTCCGCCCACCTGCGATGCTCTCCTCCGCCACCCCCACCCCGCTGTGCTCCCCCACACTCCGTGAGGCGGCCCCTCTGCGATGCTCTTCCCACCACGATACACTCCCCCACCTGCGGCGCTCCCACAATCACGGCGTCCCATCCCCCCCATGATGCTCCGCCCACATGCGGTGATTTCCCTCCCCCTGCGGCGCTCCCAGACTAGTAACGCTCCTCCCACCTGCCGGGCTCCTCCCACCTGCGGGCTCCCTCCACCTGCCGGCCTCCCCCTACCTGCGGAGCTCCGCCTCTACCAGGATCCCCCCACCCTCCCTGCAGCGCTCCCGGCCCCGCCCGCCCGCCAGCCCCGGCGCCCGGGAGCCCGCCCTCGACCGCCCATTGGCGCGCGCCGAGCGGGCGGGGCGGGAGGTTCCGAGTGGCGGCGGCGAGGGCCGGGCACACTGCCTGCTGAGCACCCGCCCGGGAGCCGTCTCCTGCCGGCTCGCCATGGACGACCAGGATGTCTCCGCCAACCCCAGGGGCTCCTTCCGACAGTTCCTGGAGCACCTCTCCGGGGCTGGCAAAGCCATCGGCGTGCTGACCAGCGGCGGGGATGCCCAAGGTGCGCGACCGCCTGCTCGGGCCCGGGGCGGAGGAGGGGGAGAAACCAGGGAGAAGGGAGAGGGGTGGGGCACCGGAGAGACAGGATGAGGAGAGGGGACCGGAGAGAAGGGATGAGGGGAGCCAGGGAAAAGAAATGGGATAACTAGGGAGAAGAGACAGGGTCCTGGGGAGAAGAGACGGGGTCCTGGGGAGAAGAGATGGGGGCCTGGGGGCAAGCGGGGACAAACCGTGGGGGGGACCAGGGAGAAGCAAGGAGGAGGGGGATATTGGAGGGGTGCCCGGGGATAAGAGAAGGTCGGGGAGAAGCTCCCGCGCCCAGGAACCGCAGGGCTGTCTTCCGGGGGCGGGAGCGGGCGGTGCAGCCGCGGGAGGCACTGCGGGGGCAGGGGAGGGAGGCTTACGCAGGAGGATCCTTTATCCGGAAGATCAGTTAATTTCCACCTCTACGTTTACTTTTAAAATTGAGACTGGCGAGGGGGTCGCCTGGACCGCCCTCGGAGGGCATTCCTGTTCCGATTCGTAGGATGGGGCTTAGCCACAGCGCGGCCACTCCCCACGCTGCGGCTCCCACCCCAGCTCCTCCACCCCCCACCCCCCATGTCGTGGAAAAAACGGCTGGGTCCCCGCGGCGCGTCCTGCGGGCTCGCGACCCCGCGCGGGGCGGGGACGATGGGTGGGGGGCCCCGCGGCTCATTGCTGGGCGCGGCGTGGGGCGCGCGGGGGTCCCCGCCCGGGATGCCTGGCGGCCTAGCACCGCCTCGCGTTTCCGCCGGGAGATTTTAAAAAAGGTTTTCCGCCGCTCTCGTCTCCTGTCCCCTTCCGGCTCGTGGCAAAACCGAAAACTAAAATGGGTCCCTAGGCCCTCCCCGCCAGCCGGCCTCCCTTGAAGGGGAAGGACCAGGAAGCGGGGACTCCGGGACGTCACCGGCACCCGGGGCGCGGACTCCAGGCTCCCCCCACCGCCATGCGGACGCCGATTTCGGGGAGAAGGGGACCCAAGCTCGGGGCCCGCGGACGCACGAAGACTATATTTACAATGAAAGGGGAGGGTGACACGGCCGCGCCCCGGGCCCGTTGCGCTGGGCGCACGTGGGGGCCGGGTGTTCCCAGACGGTGGGGTCTCCTGACCCAGGTCAACCCGGGTGGGGCAAGCCAACCGCTGCAAAGGAGATGGACGTTTCCCCGGCGGAAGGGTCCCTGGAGCCTTAAGGATCGCGCGGGCTGGAGACGCGTCCCCGAGCTGGGGTTTGGCTTCTCTTTCCCCCTCTGCCCCCTAGAGGAGTTGAAAGGCCTTCTTTTCGCGCTTTCAGGCCTCGCACAGAGGAGGGATGCTCCAGTGCGGCGCCCGACGCCCTCTCCGGTCGCCCACGCTGCGGGTGACCTTCCCTTCGCCCTTGAGCGGGCGGGGCGGGGCGGCGCGGGGGCGGCAGGTTGGGGGCCCCGCCCGCCGCGGAGCCTACGTGATGCCGGGCCCGTCGCCTCCCGTGCGCCCTGCGCCCTCGGTCCTTGGCACCCGGCACCCTGGCGGGCAGGAGGCGGGGGCCGCGGCGTCCCTGGAGCGTGGGTCCCCAGCAAGACCCTCCCCTGCGCCCTGGGCCGTGGGCATCCGCGCGCTGCGGGCAGGAGGTGCAGGAGACCGTCCCCATCCTATTGAAGCCGGCGATCGTGGCTTTGGTCCCCGCTCCCGCCCTCCCGGGAAGCAGGGCTGTTCTTATTTGGCATCTAGTAAGGTGACCCCCGTGTAAACATTGCAGAGAAAGACAGTGTTGTGATACAGCAAGGGTGGGCTTGGGGAAATGGCAGAGCGAAAGAGACGACGTTGCCCACGACCCTTAAATGAACCCTGAAAGATGCCCCCGTGGGGTCGCGGGGGCCTGAGAGCGGCATCCCTGTGAAGGCTTCTAAAGAACCCGGGTCCGGAGACCTGGGCGAGCACCACTGAGGAGGCGGTTGGAGTGAATCTTATTCTGGGCGTGGAGGGAGAGAGGCGAAGACGCTGGCACAGGAAGAGGAACTGGCCTCTAAACCGCCAGGCTTCAGAGTCAGAGTTTCAAGGCTGTTTGACAGTGAAGGGGCTATGGCTGTTGAAAACACTGTGTACGGGTCCCTCTTTTGAATCCCTGTGCCGGAGTTTGCTCAGCTACCTGGTAGCTGGTGTCCAGGTTCTAGAGATAAGGGTGCCATAGACAGAATCAGCGTTTTTTCTGCTCCTTATCCTGGCTCTGCCGCTTGTGAGCAGTTATAAACAATGAGGTCGGAATCCACCCCTCTTCTCATCAGTGGAAGAGGATTAATGAGATTAATCATTAATTCAGCAAAATTCCATGAGAAGGTTGCCTGGTTGGTGTAGCAGCAGGTCCATGGGAGATGGCTGTCCTCACCCCAGCAGTGGCATCGCCTGTGACAGCCGATGTCCTCTAGGGGCACCTCCGGGCTGTCCCTGGGAGAGGCCGCTATGGCCAGTTCGGTGGGCATTTTCCCCGACAGAGCTCAGGACAGTGACTATATTCGTGAATTTCAGGCGAAGCGTGCTCTCCTGTCTTCATACCACGTCGGGCCTGTCTGACATCTGGAAGCCTTTCTTTCAGAGGAGAAAGCTCGCCCCCGGGGTGTGCTCAGAGGTTCTGGTCTTGGCAGCTCAGATTTACAGAGCCTCAGAACAGGTTGTTCCTACAGAGGTCGTCTGTGGCACGCCATCCCTTTACTGTTTTTTCTTGATTCTAAATTATTTCAGTCTTTGATTTTTCCCGAGATAGGAGAATTTTGCTCGTAGCTAAAGAGCAAGGAGGACATGCCCAAGCCTTAATTTTAGGGTAGTTTTCTAATCAGATGTGAAATGACAGTACTCGGGCTGCTAGCCAGGGGGCGCATTTTCTGCAGTTCTTATCTCCAGGCCTAATTACATTGCTCTGAGATCCATGTCTTCTTCCTGGAGGAGGGGAGAAAGACCCACAAAGAGATGAGTAACTGAGTTAAGGTGCCATTAAGACAATGGCAGCATTTAAACCACGTTCTGTGAGCTCTCAAATCCAGATACTTCCCAGTGGGCCAAGCTCTCAAGGGGCCTTCCCCAGGCCAGGCTCTCGGGTCTAGTCAGTGCTCAAAGCCAGCAAAGCACAGCTTGCTCAGAATTACACAGATGGTTTTTAAGCAGCTTTGCTAGTGGAACAGAAAATGCCTTTTACAGTGATAACTTCGCTTCCCTCCGGGGTGGTGGCTAAGCGATGGGCGCCTGATACCGAAGTGATGGAGCGCTTTGTTTTCCAATGGAATTTATGGTATACAATTATTGGGAAAAAAAGGAAAAACAGAATGAAAATCGCCCGTGGATATTCCTGCCTCCCCCAGCCCCGCCCATTAAGGAAGACTCTGAGGCCAATTATTTTTCTCATTCTTTGGGTTTCTTCTCTTGTCAAAAGGAATGTCTGCAAATTTAAATTGATTTTTGCTTTAACCTAAAATAAGTTCAGTGTTGCTGGCTGGACGGACTTCCCATGACTCAGTGCCCACTCCCAAGCAAGACTGTGACACACGCCAAAAATGACTCACTGTCTTAGACACTGATTGTGGGCTTCAGAGGGAGGGCCTGGTGCACCGAGGGTGCCAAGAAATGCGGGTGCCCTCAGGGCACTGTGCACTTGAAAGCTGAGCCCTGTTTTGCTTAGGGCAGGGTGACCGTCAGTCTAGTATTTAGAGAAAGCTCACGTTCATGGAGTCTGTGGACATTTTTCCGTCAGTGGTACGAATAGCTAACATTTAGTGACCATCTGCCCTGTGGCGGGCACCCATGCTCCCATGTATTAACCTCCCACCATTCTACCCACAAGCAAATGAGCTCCAAGATGAACTGACTCCTGAGTTCTGCTGAGTGACTGGGCCAGGCCCGGTGACTGCAGTGAGAGTGGGGGTGCCGGGACACGTGCCCATTCCCCAGTGCATTTCTAGTTTTTTTAGTTCTCTCTCTCTTTTTTTTTTTGGTGAGGAAGATTGGCTCTGAGCTGACATCTGTTGCCAATCTTCCTCCTTTTTTTTCCTCCCCAAAGCCCCAGCACATAGTTATATATCCTAGTGGCAAGTCATTTTAGTTCTTCTCTGTGGGATGCCGCCACAGCATGGCTTGATGAGCAGTGTGTAGGTCTGCACCCAGGATCTGAACTGGTGAACACTGGGCCACTGAAGTGGAGCGGGTGGACTTAACCACCGGGCAGGCCACAGGGCCAGCCCCACCAGTGCATTTCCAGTGCCCAGCACGGAGCATGGCACTTACAGACACTCAGATGTCTGTGGACCATTTCCTTCCACAAAGTGGCTGGGGACGGGAAGGTCTAGCTGTGTTCCTCACGCACTAAGACATTTGGATGAGTGAAACCTTCGCTAATCAAAGGCACTCCTTTTATCTGCAGAGCCGTGTCTGGGGACAATTATGTCTCGAGATGAAAACTTCAAAGCCGTGGTCAGAAGTGGGAGGTGCTGGTCGACTGCATCCAGGCACTAGGTTGTTCTTCATTAAACACCTATTTCTTGAGCATGGGGTTCAGGCCCCGCTTGGGTGGGTTCCTTCCGAGCCCGCCTGAGGGCCTGCTGGCATCAGGGGCTGGTAAGATGCAAAGGGAGACTGAGCGCGGTGGGCATCTCGCCCCACGCAGCTTGGGGCCTTTACCTCCCGGAGCTCTGTGCACATACGTCCTGTAACGGCATTTTTCCCGTTTACGACGTGGTCATTAATTTAGCAAAAATTACTGGGTTTGGGAGGCAGTCTGTTTGGATTACAGTGTTAACTCCATGCGGACCGTGGGCTGTGTCTGCAATTGCATCCTTTTCCACAAATGTGGATACCGCTGTGTGACACTTTCAGATGACCCTTAGAAGCTAGACATTTCGTCATCTTTCAAAAAAACCGTGTTTTCCCCCTTGGCTACAGAAAACCAGAAGCTTCGATACAGGACTGAGGCCTCTTATCAGGGAGAATTAGGGCCATTTAAATATGCTCTACGGATCTGACGGGCTGTCAGAAGCAATTACAGTTAGACGTCCGAAGATAGGGCAGCAGCTTGTTACAGGCAACCATCAGGACACAACAAAATTGCACCTCCGCTGTGCTTGTAATTATGTTAAAAAGGTGTCTTTGGATAAAGAACACTTGGACATATGTTAAGAAAACAGCCCAGGCACTTTCCGAGTTACTCTTTTCGGCAAGCTTTGGGTGGCGCTCTGTCTGTATTTGTTACAATCGATCTGCCAGGAGGCCGGAGTCCTCCCCCTCCCCCCGCCTTCATTTCCGCGTCTCCACCACCGTGCTGGGAGTTACACTCACCGCGCGTGTCAGGACCAGAAGCAGCGAAGCGGACGGAGGGATGGCAGAGCATCGTCCAGAGAATCCAGAGACTTATTTATAGGTCCCACGTCCTGGTTCCACTGCTACTAGCGCTGGGACCGGGCCTCGGATTTCATTTGCAGAATGATGGAGGTGGAACCCCTCAACCCTTGTCATCTCCCCTCTCCAGCCCTTCTCTTCAATGACCAAGAAGGACGAGGGGCGCAGCTCCAGGA